TTTTTTTTTTTTTTGGTTATGGAAGGTTTGTGTTGATTCATCCACTAGTAATCTTACAAATGAGAAGAATGAATGTGGCAAAGCCTTTAACTGGAGCTCAAACCTTACTTCACACAAGAAAATTCATATTGGAGAGAAATCTTACAAATGTTAATAATGTGGTAAAGTTTTTAACTGGTCCTCAGCCCTTACTAATCATAGGAGAACTCATCCCAGAGTTAAATTCTCACAGTGTAAAGAATGAGGCAAAACTTTATGCCAGAGTCACAGTTTTTTGTGCTTAATAGTGTTCATGTCGAAGAGAAACACTACAAATATGAACAATGTGAGAGGCTTTTAACTTGTGCTCAAATCTTTTTATACACAAAAAATTTATACCAGAAAAAACCCAAACAAATGTGAAAAAAGTAACAAATCCTTTAACCAGTACTCACTCTTTCCAATACATAAAAGAATTCTAAAAATGTGAAGAGTGTGACAACATATTTAAATATTTCTCATGATTTTCTAATCATAATTTCTACAGAAGTAATACTCTACAAATATTAATCATGTCTCAAAGCTTTTACATTGTGTTTATACTGTTAGGCAGGGCCAAGAAGAGACCGAAGCAAATGATGCTAGGAGACCTTTCCATGTAATAGGAGGAACAAATTGGACACAAGGGACTTTCAAGAAGAAAAAGATATCATTTCAAGAAGGCTTCCAAAGGCCAAGCAGATGTTTGTTCTAAAAAATGAGTTTCTAAGGTAGAGCATTCACAAAGTAAACATATGGCCAAGGTCATAAAGGGTTCTTTGGAGCATGCATACAAGTTAGGTGACAGTAGATTCAAGTGATCCATCTTCATTAACATAGTAAAACTTACACCAATTCTATTACACTTTACAAATATCATGACAACTTTTAGAAATTGCCTTACATAGATAGAAGAAGGGGAGGACTCTCCATTTTAGAAATGTTCCACTTTTCAAAAAAAAAAAAAAATCAGGTATATTTCACATTCCCTCACTTAAACAAAGAATTGGTTTTCTATTCGATTCCAAATATCTGTGTCTCTATTTTTGTGCCAGTACCA